AACAGAAGGCTTTTTATTAAGAAAAAATGTAGATCAAAAGTAGTGGTCTACTACTTGTATGTGGAAGATTAGACAACACTGTATTTGTGGTCAGATTACTACGATGTGAGAACAAAATTCTTTCTTCTTTTTCAGCAGAGCCATATTTGTATTACCAGTCTCTTTTAGCTAAGTGGAGAGAAGATTAGTTGGCTATTATTGTATACAAACTATGTTTTTTCTGGTTTGTTAGATGCAGATTAGTTTCAATAAGTATTTTAGTTGATAGATTATGTACTGGAGTTATAAATTTTAATATAGTTAATTGGTTTTTAATCCTTGTATTTGAGAATAAGTTGAAGATTGATCACGTTAATTTAAGTATAAATAGAGATATGATCATATTGTGTGTATATGTGTTAGTGTACCATGTTGTTTGTACTTTTGATAGAGTTATATATATTTTTTGATAACTCTAGTAGTGGTCAAAAAGAGTTTAAAATTATCTCATATTTTTGTTTATAAGGTAATATGGTAATCTATTGGTCTATGTATTTATTTCCTTTTATAGTCTTGAGCTATTGTTAAGTAATGAAGTTTTAACTATATGTTGAAATTATTACAATAATGGAGAGAACCGACTATTTAGGTTTGATAGAATTTTGCCTGAAGTAATAAAAATGTAGTAATTTTTTTAAATCTTCGTTGTTTTTCTAGAAACTAAATTTAAGCATTCCTTATATATGTGCATAAAAATTTTATAAAAAAAACTATCTTATAGTTCATTATTGTATAATTAAAGTGTTGTGAGTAAATACTATTATGTAAATCATATTTGATTGTTTTCTAATAAAATTTATTATTAATTAATTATTTTATGGCTTCGGAAACTTGTTAATATAAGTTGATGATGATAAACAAACTACTATATAAAATGAGAGGAGAATCGACAAATAGTTTTTTGTGCGTGCGACGTATGCGTATTTGGGTTTGAGACCATATTTTGTTGAATTCAGAGGGGTGTTCATTATGAGTTTTGGAAACAATACATAACGTCTCTATCATTCCTTCTCTTCTTTAGTCACAAAGATATTCAATTATCTCCTTGGACAAATTGTAAGAAATTAAGTCTTGGTTACTTTTTCAATTACAAACTATTTGTCCTATTTTCTATAAATTAGTTCTTCAGAATAATCATTGATATATTTATAATTGTGTTATGTTAGTGTAGATTGCATATTATAATTTTTATTATCTCTATTAGTTTGTTTAAAAAGGTATATCACTTATACTTGAAATAAATTTAGTAATAGATGGATATGAAGTATTTATGTAAGTTTTATTTGTTTTAGTGATAATGAATATATAATTTGGGAATCTACTTAAATAAAAATTAATCTTTGTTTTAAAGTCTTGGTCTCAATGATTGTGTAGTGTAATGAAGGTGTTATATCTGTTTTTTATATGTTTTTTATTCTTTGTATTATATTTTTGAGTCTTATCACTTAATAATAGTGTTGGAACTAATATATAAATTTAGCTTTGTAAAAATGCTTATTTGTAAGTGTTGATGATTTTGTGTAATATTTGCAATATGAATTGGGTTTTGAATTCTCAGGTTTATTTTAGTATGCTGAGATTTAATTGAATATTGAAATATGTACATAAAAATAGATTTTATAAAATAAAGAAATGGTAGTGTAGTATGGGAATTGTAGGTAATTAATAGTCTTATATAAAAAAGGTATTTATGTTTTTTTCAATAAGTGTAGGTAATTTATACCCTACTTATTATTGGGTATTGTATTGGTTGTTTCATATTCCTTGAAGAGGTGTGTTTAAATGATATTAAAACTTGATAATAAATATGCAAAATTACCTGGTACAATAAGTGTTGTTGCATTTAGGCTCTATTTATTCTGCTGATAAAGTGACTGGTAGATAACGCTAGGACAATATACGTAGATGGACTATTTTCATGTTTTAGAAGTTAGTTATAGTATTTTTAATAAGTTTGACATGTTGGGGCTGGTTTCTCATTATCGGTAGAAGAATTATAATATTTGGGTCTTGGAGGAAATGGGGTCTGTGAAAGCAATTGCGGTTATTTACTTGGCGGAAGAGACTTATTTTGAAAGCAATTTTTTGGTTCTTTCGTTCTTATATCTCATTCGTCAACACAACTATTCTGAGTTTTAGGAGGATGAAATGGTAATCAATAGTAGTAGCAGGATTAACTTAACGGAAAATATTTGTGTCTTATTCAAAATACTTCTTCTTTCCGTCAAGAATTTTGTACCTTCACTTGTGTATTTAGAAATTTGCTCAGATTCACTTTAACTTTCGATGTTATTTGAGAGCACATGTTTCATACTGGTTTTTATATCGCTTGGAACTCTTTCTATGTATGTAATTTTGTCATAGTTTATCGTGTCTTCTCCAGGTTTTTTCAGTCACACTTTGCAGAATATAGAATGCACAGCAAACAACACTTTTGTAACTTTTAATTTGTTTTATAGTTTTATATAATTTCACCTTCTTTAGATGAAAAATAAATAATTAATGAATAGTAAAATTTATTATAAAAATATTATAATTTTTATATAACTTTATACAATAATTATATATTTTTTTTTTTATTAAATTTTTTTATTTATTGAAATATTAAATCTCAGCTCTAAAAACTGAAATTAAAAAAAAATTTCTTTTGATAACAAATCTCCTTGAAATAAGCATTTTTATTTTTATATTTTATATTAGTTAAACTTTATTTAATATAGCTAATATAAAAGTAAAATAAACTATTACTTTACATAAAATTGAGATTAAATTTAAATATTTTTATTAAGTAAATCATATTATATATTTCATAAAAAAATAAAATTATAAATATTTATTATATAATATTATTTCAATAAGTGATATATTTTTAAATATTATGATTAAATTATATTAATTTAATATTACTATAATTATCCATGAATAGTTTTGACTAATTTATAGAAAATAGGAAAATGTTTGTATTGAGTAGGCCAGCTAACTTTCTCTTGTCCAAAGGAGTAATTGAATCTTTTGACTAAAGAGAGAGAGGTAATATATGGCGTAAGTTTGTTTATGAAACATTGATCACATTGTTTCAACCAATGGAATGTGTAGACAACACTCTTGTGCTTTTTTATTTTAGTAAGCTTTTGTTAATCTCAAACTTTTTAAGTTGAAGATAAATAATTAATAATATAATCAAAAATTTTATTTAAGACAAAAATATATTATTATATTTTTTTAACTTTAATAATATAATTGGTGTTTTTTTATAAATTTTTTTTTATTATGAATGCTTCAATTTAGTTCTAAAAACTGAGTTAAAAAAATCTTTTTTTTATTACACACAATTTTCACTAAATAGAGTGTTTTTTATTAATATTTATCATTAGTTAACTTTACTTAACATAGCTCAAAGATTATAAAGGAAAATAAGAATATACCTTTACATAATAATGAGATAATTTAAATTTTTTTATTAAGTATATCACAATTTATATAATTTATAAAAATAAAAATATAAATATAATTATTTTATTTTATTTTATAAGTGATCATAATTTAAAATACAAGATTAAAAATTAATATTAATTTTAATGTACCATAATTATCATACAATAATTTTGACTAATTTAAAAAACAGCAATAATAGTTTTGTAATTGAATAGCCACTAATTTCTCTTTGCTCAAGGAGGTATATTAAATATGGGTTGGCTAAAGAAGAAAAGATTTTGTTTATGATATTGATTACATGGTGTGTTAACCAAGTAAATGTGTAGACAAATACTTTGTCTTTTTTTTCTTAATAAAGTTTTGTTAACATTCAGCTCTTTTAGAGTTAAAGAAATAAATAAATTAATAATATAAAATTTATTAAAAAAAAATATTTATTATAAATTTTATAAATTTAAATTATAATACCTGTGTATTTTTTTTATAATTTTTTTTTATTTGTGAATTATTTAAATTCAACTCTAAAAAATTGAGATTAATTTTTTTTTTTATTGATAATCCCTCACCTAAATAATATTTTTTAATTCTAATATTTTTACATTAGTTAAATTTAACTTAATATAGTTCAGATATGAATAAAAATAACATCAATACTTTACATATAATAATGATATTTATTAAAAAATTTTATTAATAGATAAATTTATTATAATTTCATAAAAAATAATAAGTATATTAAATATTTTAATTTATAAGATATAATATTAAAATTAAATAAGATTAAAATTATTGCGTATTATTGCGTAGCCAACTAATCTTTCTTTGTCTAAGGAGGTGAACAAATATTATTGGCTAAGAAGAGAGGTTTTTATTTATGAGCCATTGATCACATTGTATTCACCCAATGAATGTGTAGACCAAACTACCTCTGATCAACATATAAATAGAAGTGCATGCGTTCTCTATATTCTCAACATAACTGGTTTGATATAACTTGTAGCTACAAACGCATGGTTTCAAGATTCCATCCTTTTGCCTTCTCCTTATGCTCTTATTTTCTTCTCGGGCATAGTTTCCTCCATGGGATGGCTCGACGCTTAACTCTTAGAAGTTGCTTAATCAAAGCAGGAAGAATGGTGGCTTTTCTGGTTTGTTCGTCAAGCATAATTACGTGAGAAGTACAGATTGTGACTGGTCATGACTTAAAAATTATTATCTGGAAAGGTAAGAGTTAACAAGTCTTGGTCTAGCCCTCGGAGAGGGCATCCAGCAGAACAAGGTGATGAATACCATTACCACCTTTCCAGTCACCAGAACTTCAAAATGAAGAGATTAATAAGTTAAGCCCAATTTTATATGTAATTTTTGAGAATTTTT